TGTAGATTGTAGAGACACCAAACCTTCACTAATGTCTGAAGGGACTTTAGGCCTAATTTCACTGTATAAGTGCAAAAGGATCTGATGACCCTTATGTGAGTTATTGCCCTTTAACTTCTTTGTACTTACTATTAGACCTAATAACTTGAAAACTATTAGTCATAGAAGCATGGGGTCAATTGCATTATGACCTTTGACCTTTGACCTTGAATATATTTTTTTCAAGGTCAAAGGTCATGGTCATTCCAATTTTTTTTTAATTTTCATATTTTCTATGCTTTAAGACAATTCTGGTTTCTTTTTCATGGAAATTAATTTAAACGAGTCAGATATAAAAATTTGAAATTCAAAGAAGGTGGAAAGACCTCTTATTGTTCTGTGAACAATAAGTTTCCTAGTTTTTTTTTAATTATTTTTCCGCTACGGACTTTTGATCCGAAAGACTTATCGAAAAACTTTTAAGTTCATGATACTAGACATCAAAAGTTATTTCGAAAAACAACCCAACGTATGTGACCTATGACACCTTACGGAGTTCTTGCCCCTTTTACGTAAAACCTTGTTTTCGCTACTCCTTCGTAACCATAACCAAAGAAATATGAAACCTTCACAAAAGTCTTCGACTCATTGAGGGGACTCTGGAATCTATTCATTGCGAAAGTATTCGGAGACCCCTTCAATGAGTTATTGCCCCTGAAACTTTTTGAATTTTACAAATAATTAAAAATTTTCAAAACGAGAAGTCGTAGAGACATGGGACCGATTGCATAAGATTTATTGACCTTTGATCATGAAATTAAAGCAAAGGTCAAAGGTCAAGTTCATTCCAAAAACGAGAAATTGAGCCATTTTTGTATCTCTTTTGTCTTTTGACATATAATAAATATCTTTTTATCATTAATATGTACTCTTAAAACTATTTCAAAGATTACATTCTTGTCCCTTAAGACTGACCCTATTTAAAGTTATTGCCCTTCGTGCAAAAAAGCTTCTTATTGCTTTTGCCCCGAAACCATAAACCGCAAAGACATAAAACTTTCATTAATGTGTTAAGAGACTTTAAGCACACAATATATGTTCAAGTGCAAAAGGATCTGGTGACTCCTTGAATGAGTTACTGGCCTGTAATGCTTTTGTGCTTAGCATTAAACCTTATAACTTCAAAACTGTAATTCATAGAGGGATGGGTTGATTACAATGTGATTGTTGACCTTTGACCTTGAATATAAATTGAAGGTCAAAGGTCAAGTTCATCTTCATTTTTTTTTTACATTTTTTTCTTCTTTTAAGCCATTCCTGGTTTCTTTTTGATGAAATTTAATTTTAAAGAGATAAATATTAAATGAAATTGAAATTCAAAGAAGGTGGAAAGAACTCTTATTGTTCTGTGAACAATAAGTCTCCTAGTTGTTCTTATTTTTGTATTGAAAGTATCTATCATTTTGTTTCATGATTAAATGAAAGATTTAAAAAAACTTTCTTTTTGAAGAAATACGAAGGAATGTTTGTAATAGCTAGAGGAGAAAATGTTCTTTGGTCTTCCAATAAACTTTTGGAATTCCAAAGGGCACTAATTTTGTTTGCCTGGTACCCGAGGCCTTCCGATATGCACGCGTGCACATTGGAAGGCCTCTGGTACCAGGATATTTTGCTGTCTGCTTTTTATCTCTAAATATCTTTTGAATATTAATTTATTCGAAAGATTCTACCATTTAAAGGAACAAAAAAAAATCATTGCCAGGATCAACACCAGCGAGCAAAGGATAAAACTAGCATTGTCCTACTTAAATTTAGCACTGACTTAATTATACTGCCATCAGAATATCAATGCGGTTACAATCGGTAAAAAAGAAATTTTATAAACTTAGAAAGACAATTGGTTTTATTATCAAAATTATCAATGCGTTTATATATTGATGCATAATTAGATGCATAATAATTAATGAAATAATATGATTAAATGATTAGATAAGATATTTGTATTGCTCTAAACGGCAATGCTGAAATTCTATTAACTACTTCCGGGCGTTTATGCTATTTTGACCACATTGACCTTATTGTAAAACAGAATCAGGATAAGAGTTACTATCAGCAAATTAAAAGAAACTTTCAAATCATCAAGCAAATTGACCATTGAAATGAGCATCTCTTTTGTAACAAAAAACGTTTAAGTGTTTATCTCGATGCATGGTCCATGCAAATTTGCTTAAGATATCCCTTATAATTTCTTGGTACATGTAATAAACCTGCATCCAAAAGTTTTACTGGTCAATTATCTGGAAAAAGTGTGTCTGATCCAGAATCTGAAGGAATACCATAAGTTTGCATGATCCATGAAAGTTTGGTAAAAATAAATTTAAGGCTTTTCAATATCAAATATAACAAATTCACAAAAATACCAAGTAATCTGTTCACTCATCAAGAAAATGTAGCTCAGATCCAGCATCCAAAGGAAGCCTGGAAAGGTGCACCCTTACTTGTATCTTTTATGCACGATGGTCAACATAAAGCTCATAGTTACTTGAAAATGAGATTTGTACCGAAAACTTTAAAGTGTCCAATGCTTGTTCCGTAAAATGAATTTCAGATCAGGAATCCGAAGCAAGCCTGGTATGTGCTTCTTAAGATTTATTTTTCGTGCAACTTTGGTCAACATACGGCTCTTAATTACTTGGAAATAATACCTGCACAAAAAACCTTAACCTGCACCAGACTTTAAGCTCCAAAAACACTAAGCTGGTCATACTTTAGATGAATTTGCAGCATCTGAGACCTTGACTGGTACGAAGAAACACTGTAGAAGAATCTTTTATACATCTCTAATAAATGTTGGGCATGTAATTACTTTAAAAGAAAACTTCGCCTAAAACTTAAAACCAGGGACGCCGACAAAGATGCAATCATACATGTATTACATAAGCTCCCACAACTTTGTTGAGGTGAGCTGAGAACGACACCGTAAGAAATGATCTATAATATATCATTTATCTTTAAAAATCAGATTTGAATCTGTTTCTCTTCATCCCATTTCTTAAAATAATTAAACGAACCAATTATTGATGGATATGGCGATAACAAACAGTATTCAACATCAAAATCCATTAAAAAAAAATAAGATAGGAAAAAAAATTAATAAAACGCGGACCTTCAAAACATCGGAGCTGGGATCAGGTGCCATGGAGGATGAGCATCCCTGCCGACCGGTCACACCCGCCTTGTGCTCCCTGTCATGATCGGTAAATAACAGAAAAATCTGTCGTCAAATCAGTGTGTTTTAGAATGGCTTAGAATGTGTTTCAAATGTGTGCTTCGAATCAATGTGACTTAATTCCAACTTATCTTTGACATTTGTTTGTTATAAAAATTAATTAATCCGAAAGATCCAATAGACAAAACGTACTACCAGTAAGATCAAAGGTTAAATTAAACTGATGGTCTGTCCTTTCTTTCCCTAGCCGTTTACTTTGATCATATATCTAGAAACTGTAACTACTGTAATATAAATAAAGTCTACATCTGCTGCATTGTGCATCAAAGTCACAAATGCGTTACACCTGCTTATATAAGATCGGTTTTCGTTAGCATTTTATACGGACAAGCTCCTTTCATAAACAATGTTTCTATACAAAGTTGTGCTTATTTTCACTCTCTTGGTTGAATGTGGAGCAATTCAGCATGAAAAAAATGAATATTATAGTAAGTTTTATTTTTTTTTTAAATATGCTATGGTATTTTTTCTTAAACAAATGATGAGTTTGTAGCTTTTTTCTCGTTATTTAGCGTTGCTATTTTACATGCAAACTTGTAAGATGTACACCAATCCAAACAATATGTTCATTTATTTTTTACCTATTCAAGGTGTGCATTATCCTAAGCATTATGTAAAGAACCATTTCTGTGGTTATGGTAGACCCGTATCGTTCCGACCTCGGTATGGGGAGACTATTCCTAACTGTGATCCGCCACTTGGGCCAGTCAAAGGATGCACGATGATATGTAAGTACCAGTTGTTAGTAAAATGTAATTTTCTTTTCACTTCTTTTTTTAAAGAAAGGGTAAAATTAAGTCCTTTTTTGGAAACAAAGTTTACCTAGATCTGTCTCAAATTAATTTTCTAAAAATGAATAATTTCATTATATTCTCATTATTCCAAGTTTAAATGTATCATTATAATTTTTTTCTCTGTAGATATAAATATTCATAATTCTCGTCCTTACCGCTGCCCAAACAATGGTTATGTAAGTGGATACTCAGCAGTCCCTATGGATAGACACGGGAATGTGGCAGTGAGGTGTTGTAGAGGTATGTTTATTACGGATGCCGAAAAGTGCAAAACAAAAATAAATAAAGAAAAAAAAACTAATATCAAATGAAGAAAATAAATTATTAAATCATTTTCTTAATGATGATAATTTCCTTTTGTTTAAAAAATATTTTTTTTGTTTAATATTTTCATTTTCTTTATTTAATAATTAAGTTTTCTTTATTTGATGATTTAGATTTATCGTAAAATATCGATCTCTTTATTAAATAATTTCATTTTCTTTATTAAATAATTTCATTTTTCTTTATTAAATAATTTCGTTTTTCTCTATTTATTTTTGGTTTGCACTATTGGTCTTCCGTAGTTTATAATCCTATTTTCAAATATGATTTTCCCTCAGAACAGCCTATGTCAAAGCACGTCAAACGTTACGTTTGGATTTCATGTCGCCAATTTGAGAAATCTTAACTTATGATATAATAAACTTACACCCACACACATAACACACAGCGAAACGTTGTCCCCGAGTAAAAAAGAAACAAAATACGAATTTATGATTAAAACATAAAAAAATGCAATACATTGAACCAGTGTAGATGTAATGTATTCACGTGTAATTCAGCGAAAATATTATCCCATGTATTTTATACGATTTTAGTTACAAAATTTAAATTTGAAAGAATGCTTAAATCTTAGCTAAAAAATCAAATATTGTTGGGGGGGGTATTGTTGATAGAAATTTTTTACAGATATAAAAAAGAAAGACATTTAAGAAAGATGTCCTTTGTTGAGTTTTATATGGGATTTGATCACGTGACAAACCTGTTTTACATCCCAATAAAACTCAATAAATTATACCTTATTACTTATATTTACATTTGTGATTGATTTATTTCAAATAATAAGGTACCAGAGTTTTTAATCCATAAAAGATTTTTTTTTTTCAAATTTCAACGGTATAAATTGAATGTGCTGAACACTTAGATCACTTATGACGTCACTATGAAATTAGGTAGATCGCTTATGACTAAGCACTCAATTTATGGTCACATGACGAACGTTTTTACGGAGATGTAAAAACGCCTAGCTTGTTCAAATAGTGTTATATAAGGGCAAACATTTGCAAAATGTAACGATCCCTCCCCTATTTTTCTTGAATCTCATTTTTTTCTTACCTTGGTATTTTTCTAAAGCACTTTCATGCATACTTTCAATTCATCCATCAATTCTCATATAATACTGAAATGTCCATAAGAGTTATTTCTTAATTGTTGGTTGACAACTGTTTAAATTAGATGTAGCGAAGGTCTAAACTATTTTCTTGTGTCCCGATGTGTTGAATGTCAGACATCGTCTTGCTATTTGATTACACGCTTTTTGTTGGCTTAATTTTACATACGTAGTTATAAAGTTGTGGTGTAATTTAGGATTATCTTATAGTTACCTTATTTTCTTGTGTGATCGATGTTTTTATGGTCTTCGAGTAACACGTTTTACTGAAACTTCTGCCGCCGCCATACTTTGCTTTACTTGTGTATTAATATTTTCCCGCGATGCTTCACGGTGATCTTTTACTGAAGTTATTTCGGCGGAAGATTTGATTGTAAATTCTTTTAAATTGAATGTTAAACAGTGTAAATGAGCTTTTGAAAGTGTAACTTTATGTTCTATGAACTTGTTTAATTTATTAATGTTTTGTAATAATTTTACATACGATGTACGAAAGTGAGATTTCATTACGGGACGATAATTACATTTGATTGGCTGATTATATTTTACGGGATGAGATTATTAGTTATGATTGGTTATCAATTATTGCGGGTTTTGTCAATTCTATAAATACCCAGATGCTAAATATCGTTTGCTCTCTCGTTTTCTTTGTGTCCTGGAGAAAGGTCACCAGTTTTGTCAAGAGTAATTTAAGGTTTGTACTTGTTCAGTATCTGAGTGACTGACGTACATAATATGGTAATGTTAGGTAAGGCTCAATTAATTATTACGAGTAGTTGTACTAGTTTTATTGATAATTACTAGTTGATAACTAGTTATTTTTATCTTCTTTAGCCAAGTTTAGGAGTTAGGAAATATTTCTGCTGTGTGCTAGTAGTTGAACTAGTAGCGGAAATATTTATTTGTAAATTAATTATAATTATAACTCATTTATAGAGAGCCTTTACGTTTTATTTTGGTCGGGGGAATTTATGCAATTACAATTTACTGGAAATAGGGCCAGTTATATCAGTAGTTTTACTGATTTTTGTCTTTTGTCCCAAGGGTTGAGAATTGTGAATTTAAAACACTGTTATTCATTTTCGCTGTTGTATTGCTGAATAAAATTATAAAACTTTACATCGGAGTTTTTGTTCTCAACACAAGGCAGGCGTTCCGAAGAGTTACAGCAGATATACATTGAAAATATATGTCATTTAAGTGACGTAATTTGTTTGAATTTTTGAATATTCATGAAGGCATTCATTATAATATTAAGTTATTGACTCTGTTACGCTAAATCCGTATTGTCTTCTTTTGCAGCGCTAGGTGTCAACTATAACGAGAGAGAATGCGTTCAGTATTTTCGACAGGAGGATCCAAAATACCCATCTCCAACTAAACCTGGATATTATCTTGTTGGATCCACTCCTTTATCTCTTCCTAACGGGCAAGTATTTAAGTTTTTTTTTAACTTGATCTCAGCAGTAAAAGTATAAATATGCATTTTCAAAGAAGTTCCTATCAATGTAATTTATGTACTGGAAAATCACATATTTTCGTAGGGTCATTTTTTTTTAGATTTGAGGAAAAAATATTGCTTTGTGGGGATTAGATTTCGTTCCTGGAGAATGTTTAGAAGTAATACATAAGAAATTTTACATTTCGTGGTGGACATAAATTCTGGGTTTCTTCATACGTAAAAAACAACAAAAACGACCCCAACCCCATCCACCCCCAGAACCCGGCATAACCAAAACGAAAATTAGTGATTTCACAGCACGTGGTCTTTGAAGGAGAGTTGTTTTATTGAATGTCTGAACACTGATATATAAAATATAAAAAATAAAATTATGATTATTTTTTTTTAATTATTTTTTCAGTGCAACATATTTGTACATAATCCCCTTCTATTTTGCTCTCATATGTTTTTTATTTAAGTATCAAATTAAAACTTTATTTTTTGCTTTTTCAGGAAAGTTGGTTTTTTCAACAAAGAATGTAGATTCCGCAGAAGAGAAGTCTTCAGTTTTTAAGTTTTCAAATGTTACAATTTGTTTTTTATGCTATATATAATGCTTGTAAGAATTCCGTCATGAAATATGTTTCAAAATAAATGATAAATTATACTTACCATAATATACATTTATACCGGTATGTGTAATTATAAATACCATATCAATGCTTCAATATCGGTTATTGTAAATGTTGACTTTTTTAAAGCCATTTTCACACGGAGAGTTGAATTTGCAGTAGCTTAATGCGAAATAAAATAATCCTTATTAAATTGCGTTCACAGGACAATTCAATCAAAGTAAACTAATGGGAATTAGAATTTTATTTAGTGACTGTTTTTACGCCAAGCACCTTGTATGAAAAGTCACGGGTCTTTTGGATGAAACCTTGAAACCCAAGGTTTTGTGTCACGGTGGGCTTTTACACGATTAAGAACCATCACTATTGAATGATCCTGATTTCCGAGTAAAGGTTTAAATTTGAAGCCTTTCACTGTATTTTACTGATATTCTATATAAATGAAAAATCCTCGAATGGGACGTTACACAACATACATGTACAATCCATGAATCAAAAATTAAATTCTACAACACAGGTTTAGATTGAGCACTCTCTTATGTAGATTTATAACCACAGTATTAAATGAGTAATATCATTATGAAGTCGCAACATAATGGGTACGAAATATATCGCACAGAGGAAATCAAGTCTTGTTTATTTATTCTTTTGTCCCTCATGTGGCGCAGTGGTTAGAGCATCTCCTCTAGAGTTACAGAGGGAAGAGCCGATCCGTACGTCGTGGGCTCTATTCCGCTGTGGGACGTGGAGACCAATCAATCAAATTAGACCGTATAAACCGAGGTCCCGTGTCGCTACAGGTGTATCGTATCAAAATCTGTGCAAAACGTAATATTTACTTATTACATCAGAATGGAAATAAGTAATGCTTTAAAGCGGTAAATGTATATTACAAACAATCATATATATTTCTCCTTAACCTTCGAGTAAAAAAATTAAAGTAGATTTGTTGATGCATTCTTTAACGGTTGTCATTCACGGCTGGACCACATCTAAAACATCAACTGAAGTCATAAAATGGCATGTCAAGCAGGTCACAATTTAATATAAAAGAAGAATCAAGCACCAGGTCAAAGATTCAGTGCGAACCATTTCGGAGTGGCGATGATGTCTCTAGAAGTATTCTGTATTCTACTTTTGGTAAGTGTTTAAAATACCTCTGATTGATCATAGTATATCTATAAAGCCAATTAAGACAAAACAATGCCTTTAAATTTACAAATAAACCCTTACCAGATTTCTCTAGAATTGACAACTGTTTTTAACAGACTGAAGTTTTTTTCAGATTTCTTTACAATGTAAAGAAATATGTTGGTCAGAATTACATGCATTTTAAAAATACATATTGCTTTGCATGAAATGATTTCTATGCACTAAAAATCAAGGGAATGATTTTTTAGGTTAATTTTTCTTAAAATGACAAGCTAAAGCATTATCATCTGCAGCAGTGTAAAAAAACATAGTTGTAAAAGTAAAATTATCCACTGACTTATACCAAATAAGGAAAGACTTTGTTTTTCTTAAGTCAAATCCCTGGGGGGAAGTGCAATATATTTCATAAGTTAAGTTTTAATTCTTTTGAATGCATACTCTATACAGGATTATTTTCACCCCGTCTTATTTTCGCCCCTTGAGGCTTTGACACCTGCAAAATATTTTACCCCCTTTTCAATTCGCCCAGTTCTGTTTAAGAAGTTAAAATGTTATTTGAATTCGCCCCGTCTTAAATTCGCCCACATGTGTGTAGGGCGAAAGGGGCGAAAATAAAACGGAGCCGAAACTTTTCATTTAGACAGAAAATACAAGACACTTTTTCTCTTAGGGTATCACCCCTGCATTTGGAGCAGATTATTTTCTAAGCAGTTTCCAAGGTATGTTTTAAACTCCAACATTTTCTTTTTAGAATTGAAAATAGATTTAAAATTAGATTTAGAATAAATTTAGAAATCTTTTCAATTATGAACAACGGCTGCAATGTTAAAAGATTGTATAAATACTACATGGAATCTTCCAAATTTTAAACAAAAATCGCTTTTTATAACCATTGAGAATATATTTCTGTAAATTAAGGTGTCTCAACCTATTTTACATTACTTTGTTAGTTGATACTTTTTTCAAAGAAGAAGTATGAGAGTAGTCTTTCATGGAAGAAGTTTTCAATGATATCCTTTCATGTATACAAAAATAACGTTAACTCTATATTGAATCTAGATTCATCACCTAATTTGAAAGTCACTTGCATACAATGTGTACAACATGTAGGTCATGCACAAATTTCAATTTTGCAAGGGCATTATCTAATTCAAATAAGGAAATTAATTTATGAATTATTCATATGAGCCGTTCCAAGCAACCCCCCCCCCCCCCCTTATGACGTTAAACTATTTTTTATATCACAATGCAATAACGTAACGTCATTTTTTCGGGAAAAATAAAACGCTTGCAGACTACAAGCAAGAAGTAAACACTAGCAGTTCCAAGAAAAAAAATCAGCTACATGTAATGGACGAATTTCAGGTAATGTAATACACA